GATAGAAGGAGAGAGCAGAGACATGAGCTCACCGCTGTGCTGCTTCTATTTTCACTGTTCAGTCACAGACTGGGACAGCTCCAGGAAGAGCTGTGCTCAGAGAAAGTGACTAGAATGATGCTGGCCAGACTGACATCTAATGGAAGAAAAAAGTACTACAGGAAAAATCTCTGGTTTGAAGGTGAATATTGCAGCAAAAGCTGGATTTTTGTTTTTTTGTTTTTTTTTTTTTTATCTTTCAATTGCCTATTCATTTATTTATCTCTTTATTTGCAACTGAAGTTCTGCTTTAATGAAAGCAAACCTAGAGTCTAATAGAACCTCTAATCTGATTTCCACACCTCTGCTGCCCTACAATCTAAGGAGCTGAAGCCATTGGCAGTTTCAGGGGGAAGACTCCGCTATGGAAGCTCACGCAAGCATTATCTTGGTAAACTCCTGTGTGAAGACAAAGCATTCCCAAAGTTTTGAGATAAGCTATCGGCAAGCCTGCGGGGGAGAGACCACTTTTCCGTTGGGGCGCATGGAGAATTGGTGACCCTTTCAGCTGAGAAAAGTACAGGGCTACCTGCTGTTCCAAGGTTAGTACAAGGGGGATATACTTAGAATGGGGGAGTGTAAGGATTAGCATAGTTACCCTTTAAACTTCCTATATACCCTAACTTTATCATTTGGTATGTGTGACATCATGCCATTACTGATAAATGGCTCGCAGTTAGCAGCATTGTCAGTATGCCATGTGTGCTCCTTTAGTTGGCTGTTAGACCGCAACTGGACAGGCAACTGGAGGAGCTTGCATGGCAGGCTGGCAACACCTATGCTAACTGCTAGGCATTGGTTTGGCGTTGTCAGTCTGAATCAGGAAGTGCTGTTTCTTCTAAAACCTTTGCAATAGATTCACAAAAGAAAACAATTTGTTTAAGAAAACTGTATACAGTGAGGCATGATGCCAGACAGCCTGAAAAATAGAATTAGGATTCACATAAACGCTAAGCAGAACCCAAAACCGTTTGATAACAATTCATGTTCTTTAACCGCATGCCGCCCAGCCACTGTACATATACGGCGGCAGGGCGGCACTCACAGGCAAAACCACGGTTTAAAACGTGCGTTTTGTAAACAAATAGGGGGCGCGCGCGAGGCGCGCTGCCGCCCTATTTGTCCTGTGGATCACCGCCGCAGATGTCAGTTGCCGGGTCACAGCCACTCATTAGCGGCTATGTCCCGGCGATCGGCGGTAAACGGTGACAGAGAGCACAGCTGCAGTAGCTGTGCTGTCTGTCACCTCTCTGTCAGCTGGAGGATGAGCTGATCGAGAAAGAAGAGTTTCACTTTCTCGATCAGCCTTGTCCCGTCCAGTACACCCCCCCCCCCCCCCCGCCCCTAGTAAAACACTCCCCTCACTCCTATAACCCTTCCCTGCAAAATAAAGTTAACCCCTTCCTCCCCATTGCCATTAGTACAGTGCCAGTTTTTTTTTTTTTTTGCACTGATCACTGTATTAGTGTTTTTGGGGATGTCAGTGACCCCAAGTCAGTACCCCCCAATGTCAGAATGTCCGCCGCAGTCCTGCCATAAGTCGCTGGTCGCTGCCATAAGTCCCTGATCGCCGCCATAATTCGCTGATCGCCGCCATTATTAGTATAAAAAAAAAAACTAAAAATCCCAGTATCTTTCCCGCCATTTGTAAACGCTATAACTTTCACGTAAACCAATTAATTTACACATATTGGGTTTTTTTTTTAGCAAAGACATGTCGCAGAATGCATTTTGGCAGAAATTTATGACGAAATTTGATTTTTGCATTTTTTTTTTTTTACTGGACATGTTTTATAGCAAAAAGTCCAAAATATTGTTTTTTTTTCCTCAAAATTGTCAGCCTTTTTTTTTTTATAGCGCAAAAAAATAAAAACCGCACAGGCGATCAAATACCACTGAAAGCTCAATTTGTGGGGAAAAAAAGGATGTAAATTTTAATTTATGTACCATTTACATGACCGCGCAATTGTCCGTTAAACTAGCGCAGCGCTGTATAGCAAACAAATGGCGTAAATTGCAGTATCTATACCATAGTTTGTAGACGCTATAACTTCCACACAAAGCAATCAATATACACTTATTGGGATTTTTTTTACCAAAAACATGGAGCAGAATACATTTTGGCCTAAATTTATAACCAACTTTGAGTTTACTATATATTTTTTATAGCTGAAAATAAAAAAAATATTGTTTTTCTTCAAAATTTTTGGTGTTTTTTTGTTTATAGCGTGAAAAATAAAAAGCGCACAGGTGATCAAATTACACCGAAAGAAAGCTCTATTTGTGTGAAAAAAAGGACTTAAATTTCGTTTGGGTGCAGCATTGCATGACCGCGCAATTATCAGTTGAATTAGTGCAGCGCCAAGTAGCAAAAAGAGGCCTGGTCATTAAGGGGGGTAAATCCTCAGGAGCTCAAGTGGTTAATATATGAGCCTACAATGGGTATAGAAAAGAATCACCCCCACCCCCCTTAAAAGAATATCATTTTGTTGCTTTGCAGCCTGAAATGAAGACCGGCACAGTTTTTGTTTTATCCAGCTGTATTTAATCGCTGAAACTTATAACACCAACATGTCAGAATTTTTTTTTTTTTTTCAAATTCTAAAACAGAATCACGGAGTTGGAAAAAAGAATCACCCCCTTGTGTCAGTATTTTGTTGAACCACCTTTTGCTTTACAGTATTTTCCGGGCTTTAGTCTGTTGGGATGTGTCTCTAATAACTTTTCACATGTAGACTTTGCAATATTTGCCCACTCTTCTTCGCAGTGCTGCTCAAGTTCAGTTAAATTTGATGGTGACTGTTTGTGGACTGCACTCTTCAAGTCCTTCCACAGATTTTCAATGGGGTTCAAGTCTGGGCTCTGAATAGGCCATGTACCATTCACCACCTTCTCCTCCAACCACTGTGTAGTCATTTTTGCTGTGTGCTTTGGGTCATTGTCATGTTGGAAAGTAAACCTTCTTTCCATTGACAACTTTCTAGCAGAGGGCAGCACATTTTTCTCAAGAATTTGATGGTACTTTGTCCCATCCATCTATTTTTCCTTCTATCTCGACAAGTGCTTCAGTCCCTGCTGCAGAGAACCCCCCCCCCCCCCCCATAACAGGATATTACCACCTCCATGCTTTATTGTAGGAATGGTGTTCTATGGATGGTGAGCTGTATTGGACTTCTACCAGACATATCATTTAGTGTCGAGGCCAAATAATTCAATTTTAGTCTCATCTGACCCATGTGGCCTCATAATCTTCCATATTACATTTTGAGGCATTTTTTGGCAAAGCTCAGTCATGACTGCATGTGGCCTTTCTTGAGGAGTGGCTATTTTTCTTGCAATCCTCCCATACAAGCCACATTTGTGGAGAATTTGTGATATTGTTGTCACATGCACACAAATAATACCACTCATTGTCTTCAATTCCAGCAACTGCTTCAGAGTTGCTATAGGCCTCCTGGTAGCCTATCTGACCAGTTTCCTCCTGGCTCTTCCATCCAGTTTGGAGTGACGTCCTGGTCCGGGGAGGGTCTGTGTTGTACTAAATACCTTCCCCTTCTTAATATTAGATTTCATTGTGCTTTTAGGCATTGATAAAGCCTTTTGAGGTTTTTCTTGTATCCATCTCCTGACTTGTGCCAGTCCACAACTTTAATCACGGAGATCTTTTGACAGTGCCTTGCCATCCATAGTTGATTATTTGCTTCAGTTGAACTACCAGGGACTGAAATGTTCCAGAAAGTTATTTTCATACTGAGCTAATCAAAATGACCACAGTTGATCAGTTGAAAGTCAAATGGCTTTGTGTGCCATTGAGAAGGTGATCAGCTACACCTGATTGACTTTACAAGTCGTTTTTAGGAGGGGGTGATCCTTTTTCCAATTCAGTGATTCTGTTTTTGAATTTTGTTTTCTGAGATGTTGGTATATCTTTCAATTGGATGTTATAAGTTGCACTGAGTAAATACAGGTGGATAAAACAAAAATTGTCTTTATTTCAGGCTGCAAAGCAACAAAAATGTGATTCTTTTCTATACCCACTGTACATTTCACATGAATAATTATGCTACCAAAATCCGTGTATGTTGTAAATTCCCTCCAGCATTGTTCCCGTTTCTTCTAGCTGGAGGCCGCCATATTGTAGAAGTCCAGATTAGTCACTTCCTTATTGGAAGCCCTCCTCCACTTGGTCTCAAAAACTGTCACTTTCTTCAATTAAAAATACGTACATTTCCAGCCTTGATTGTATGTCTTGGCTCAGATAGAGGGGAAGGCCGACAGAAGCTTTACAGCACTGAAGTTCACAGATCTGCCAATGAGTGAGGATGGAGAGAATATCAGGGAGATGAGATAAAACACCATTCTTGAAACTTCGACTCTTGTGTCTCCCTGGCAGCAGAGTTTGTCCTGTCACCCCCCCCCCCCCCCCCTCCCCCTGCACAGTCAATGTCATTCTTGCTGTTTTATTCCCCCTTCAGTACCTGTAAATTTAAAGCTGGCAGCTTATCATCCTCTAGTGGCTGATATTTGGCAGAGAGAATAGAGAGCAACTGAGCATGTGCAGAATATGGTGAGACAGTGCATTACTGGATTTTAAACCGTATTGGCACTTATTTTAAAGTGCTTATAAACCTCAGACATGAAATATGAATAAAGCACATTAATTTATAGTGTGTACTTGTCTCAATCCAGAGCACTAAGTGTCATTTCTGTCTGCTGCCTTGTTCCTCAGCTATCAACAAGTTTTCCTGACACCATGTGATCAGCACAGGGCCAATCAGCATTGCCCAGGTAGAGGTCAGGGTTTTGTATACTCCTTTATCAGAAAAATTCCTCCTGCAAGCTTTAGCTAGTGCTTGGCTGAACACTGATAGAAGTCACAAGACTGCTCTAACTGCTGATGAGAAAAGGTATTTAGCAGTTTGTATTTACTAAAATAATTGCATTTCCATGTTTTGTGTACTGTGGGAGACCAGATTAAGTGAATGCAGGGTCCGGGGAGAGACCAGATATAGTGAATGCAAGGTCCGGGGAGACCAGATATAGTGAATGCAGGGTCCTGGGAGACCGGATATAGTGAATGTAGGGTCCTGGGAGACCAGATATAGTGAATGCAGGGTCCTGGGAGACCAGATATAGTGAATGCAGGGACCTGGGAGACCAGATATAGTGAATGTAGGGTCCAGGGAGACCAGATATAGTGAATGCAGCGTCCGGGGAGAGCAGATATAGTGAATGCAGGGTCCGGGGAGAGCAGATATAGTGAATGCAGGGTCCGGGGAGAGCAGATATAGTGAATGCAGGGTCCGGGGAGAGCAGATATAGTGAATGCAGGGTCTGGGGAGAGCGGATATAGTGAATGCAGGGTCCGGGGAGAGTGGATATAGTGAATGCAGGGTCCGGGGAGAGCGGATATAGTGAATGCAGGGTCCGGGGAGAGCAGATATAGTGAATGCAGGGTCCGGGGAGAGCGGATATAGTGAATGCAGGGTCCGGGGAGAGCGGATATAGTGAATGCAGGGTCCGGGGAGAGCGGATATAGTGAATGCAGGGTCCGGGGAGAGCGGATACAGTGAATGCAGGGTCCGGGGAGAGCGGATATAGTGAATGCAGGGTCCGGGGAGACCAGATATAGTGAATCCTGGGTTTAGTAACACTGTAATTAAAACAGAACTTTAGTCTGAAAATTATGTGGGTTTTATGTAATTTCACAATTTTAAAAAAAAAAAAAAAGTATTACCAAATACATGAAATGGACAGTTTATAACTGACTTGGTAATTGTATCTTGTCTGGAGTTCTCCCTTAAGTAATAGATTTAGATTGGATTGGTAAAATAAATTCGGGCATAGAATGGCGCCCTCTTATGGATGCAGCTGAGCAGCACACAGAGGGTGAGCTACCAGTGTCTGACTTCTCCAGTTGGTGGGAGACGATGTCCATCTCTTTCTATAGTAATTGTTAAACATGGATCAGTGTGAGAACAAAGTCTTGTCTCTATTCTGATCTGCGTTTGGTTTCTGTCCAGACATACATAGCTCCTAACGTTTTTTTTTCCCTTTCTGTACACTGACTGATTCCTTCTGACATTGCTGTGATTGGTCAGTGGCGCTGCAGTCTTCTCCCATAAACTGCATTTTTTATTTAATTTAAAGAGTATTTGGGAAACAGAAAGGTACATCTGGTATTTGTTGAACACTCCACACTTTACAAAGTTCTGGAAGCATAGCCAAAAGTTTGGTATTTATTAGAAACCTGTGCCGGGAACAGCACACACCTATTTAAAGTGGAACTCTGCTTGTATTTCTATTTGGTGCAATCCTTCTCCTACACTGTGTGCCGAATGCAAAAATTACAGGTTCACTGTAAAATGAACTGAAATGGTATCTACAGCCAAACCTTTTGGTTTTTTTTTTTTTTTTTTAATCTTTACAGCTGGATGGACTGAAATCTGCCCAGTTCAGCAGGGATCAGTCGAATTTTGATGAATGTATGGCCGTCCCTGTTTGACATAAGTAAAACTTTACATTGACTTAAAATTGGAAAAAGTTTGTTGATCTGCAGCTGCTGATCAGCGCATTCTGACAATGCGAGGTCCCAGTGTCAGAATACAATGGCCTGGCATGGGGGGAATTCTCCAGCCGCCTCCTATGTGTGGATGGAGGAATCTGTTTTTTTTTTTTTTTTTATTATTCCACTGGCTGAATGAAAAAATCTACACATCTATGGCTAGTTTTTGTTAGAACCCATGTATTTATTATTTATTTCAGGTACTTGTATAGCGCCGTCAATTTACGCAGCGCTTTACATATATATTGTACATTCACATCAGTCCCTAACCCTCAAGGGGTGTACAATCTAAGGTCCCTAACTCAGATTCATACATACACATACTAGGGACAATTTAGAAAGGAGCCAATTAACCTACCAGCATGTCTTTGGAGTGTGAGAGGAAACCGGAGTACCCGGAGGAAACCCACGCAGGTACAGGGAGAACATGCAAACTCCAGGCAGGTGGTGCCGTGGCTGGGATTCAAACCAACAACCTTAGTACTGCCAGGCGGAAGTGCTAACCATTTAGCCTCTGTGCTGCCCAATATAATATATAAAGAAAAAAAAAGACCAAATAAGTGACTTGTTTACATTTTACTGTACCCCTCATTTCTTTACCTTTAAAAAAATAACCCCACAATTGCTTGTGGTCAGTGGCACTTTAACACCCCCATCCCTCTTCCCCACACACATAAAACGCAAGAAAGTTTAAGAGCGAACTCTCTAATTCCTTCCAAAGGATTTACCCCCCTTCCTGACCAGGCCATTTTTTGTGATATGGCGCTGCATTACTTTAACAATTGCGCGGTCATACAACACTGTACATAGATTAAATTTATGTCCTTTTTTTCCCACAAATAGATCTTTCTTTTGGCGGTGTTTGATCACCTTTGCATTTTATTTTTTGTGCTATAAACAAAAAGAAGACTGACAAATTTGAAACAAAAAAAACTATATTTTTGACTTTTTGCTATAAAACATATCAATTAAAAAAAATTTAATTTCTTCATAAATTTAGGCCAAAATGTATTCTGCTACATGTCTTTGCTAAGAAAAAAAAAAAAAAAAAATTCCCAACATGTGTAAATTAATTCCCCACACGCATAAAACACAAGAAATTCTTAACCACTTGCCCTCCATAAGGATTTGGATACACTAACAAACTAAAGCCAAACTCCAGCTAACACTGTATAAGTAGTTACAGCAAGCAGTTTTTTCTTTCTGGGGATAAAGGTTTAACATAAATGAAAGCTAAACATTTTAAGCACTCCTGTCAGTGTTAAATGGTTTGTCTCATCCCTGTAACTGCTACATCTGCAGGACAGCTTGTTCTTTTGGAAAACAACAGACTTACTGGCTGGATTACTAGGTGGAAAGAAAACCTAAAAATGCAACTAATGCAGTCACCTCATCTGAGAATTGTTAAGCTGCAATATAATAAATATTTGCTTTCAGGTTTTAAACACCCCCTGCATTTAAAAAGAACAATCTCACAATCATTAATAGTCAGTGACACTTCAAGCTTCCCCCCCCCATCTCTCCCCCACACAGATAAAAAAACACATTTTAAGTGATAATTCACAAATTCTTACTGTAACCTGTTACTCCCTGAATGTAGGTGTAACCTGTTACAAAAGGTAAATGTATCCTTTGAACCCAAAATCAAAAATGTAAAAATTGTGGTGGCTGCATCAGTTTTTTTTGTTTTGTTTTGCTTTTCCCTCTCTGTTTTCACTTGTTGATCTGGTCAGTAACATGCCTCCTGTATTAGGAAGACACAACTCTGGAAGAATGAGCACAGGAGACACATCAGACAGCAGCATTTTCAGTCTGGGGGGAGGGCAGTGTAAAATGTACTAGCAGATTTAAGTACAATAACAAATTGAAGCCAAACTCCAGCTAAAACTGTATAGTCGGTTACAGCAGTTTGTTTTTCTTTTTGGGATAAAGGTTTTACATAAAAGCTGACCATTTTAATCATTCCTGCTAGTGCTACTAAACCCCGGACCCTGCATTAACTATATCTGGTCTCCCACAGTACACACAACATGGAAATGCAGTCATTTTAGTAAATATAAACTGCTAAATACCTTTTCTCATCAGCAGTATATAGCAGACTTGTGACTTCTATCAGTATCAGCAGAGCACATGTTAAAGCTTGAGGAGGAGTTTTCATTCTCCCCTGATTGTCCTATGAGGCTGCATAACCCCTGGACCCTCTGTCTGGACAGTGCTGATTGGCCCTGTGCTGATCACATGCACTCTCCCAAGAAAACAAAAACCTCTCTAGCAATACACACTAAACTGTGCACGTGCAAAGTGACTCCACACAATATCTTATCAGGAGATAAAAGGGGGACACTGGAAGAAGGGGAGGATCAGAGAAGCCAGGATCAAATAGCCTTTTTACACAATGCAGAGGATTAACCCCTTAGGTTCCACAGTGAGTATAGCAAGCATGCTTTACTGCATATACAGGCTGATGTTACTGTTGTGGGTTTTAAGTGATTGGTCTCATCCATGTAAACTGATACATTCTGCTGGAGAATTGAGCTTCTGAAAAAAAAACAGACTTGCTGACTGAATCACCAGATGAAAGCCTAAAAAAAGGAAATAAATGTAGCCATCACATCTCAGAATTGGTAAGCTGCAATATAAGAAATGCTTGCTTTTGGATTTAATATTGCTTTAACATGAAAACAAATTTGTGACGCTAGGTTCACTTTAAAGGAATATCACTGCTTTTTAAATCTCCTTTTTTCTTTTCCTTTTATTATGTATTTTTTCACCCTTGCTTGGTAGAATCATTCTCTCATGTACCACACTATCACAGGGGGACTTCTGGTCATCTGAAAGTTCTTCTATCAAGTTCATGTCAAAGGTTTTCCCTAATCCGATAAACCAGACTCGTCCTGCCGGATCATGAGATCATTTTTACATTTGCAGCTCGTAACAACGTTTCTGGAGGATTCCAATGGCCATTGTGTGAATATCCCCGGTGGAGACACAAAGCAAACATCCTCCTCAGATCCTTTACGGGCAGCGAAAGCATTTACGAGCTGTCCGGGGAAGTGCGGAGCCCATTTGTCTTCTACGCAGCTCATCCATCAGCCATCTTGCCAGCTGAGCGTCACAGGTACGTGCCATTTGGGATCCAACCGGCCACGCCTCGCCTTTGAAGGTACGTGCATCATATTCTGTTTAATCTCGCTGTTCCTGGCAAAGCGTAGATGCAGTGTTTGCCGCATCACCCTTTACAGGAGACAAGGACGGATCCATGGATTTTAAATCCAGTCTCATCGCTGTATTGTAAAGGTGGTCTGGTGGACATTAATGACTAAGCTGCTCAGGACAACATCTCCGGACTCCTAATATGATTGCTTGAGTGCCACACAAAAACCACAAATGCGGGAATGGGAGACGGTATCTGTGTGGCCATAGACGGCTCGAAATCAGCTGAGATTCCAGCCATGGGTGGCCCTGCATACTGTGGTTATCAAAAGTTGATTTATAAATTATCAGCCAAAGAGCGACTGCATCCTCTACAACATAGGTCTCCAAACTGTGGCCCTTTTCTTGCTTTTATCTGGCTCATGGGGGACTATTCCTTCAACTTGACATCATTGATGGCGCACTATTCCTTCCATTAAGACAAACAATGGGGCAATATTCCTCCAACTGAAACCAATAATGGGGCATTGTTTTCTCCCACTGATTCTGGGGCACTTTCCACTCCCAATGGCCACAGACTGGCCCCCTTACAGCCTGAAGGACTGTATAATGGCCCTTTTGTTTAGAAGGTCTGGAGACCCCTGCTCTACAGCGGCACTGTATTCAAGCAGCCACAAGTGCTGACACTGCTGAATACAATAGCTGGCAGTGGAGATTCCTTCATCCACATTGTGACCCTGGTTG